ACCTAGTTGTTCGATATTTTCTGGACCTATCATATAGGCTATGGTTATAGTCGCTTAAACTATTATATCAGTATCAATATAATTTCCTACCGAGTCGAAACGATAGCAGAAAAACACCGTTTTGTGCAAAAAAGGAATTTTGGCATTCGTGCATTTTGCATTTGTGCGTTTTGCCCTTTAAAGTGGAATTGTGAGCCAAGCTCCTTTCATCTTTAATGATTTGATTTCCCAACAAGAAACCACAATACCGACTAAATATTCCTTATCATCAAATCTCACTACAGCATCTACAATTGAATGTGAACAAGAACCCTGTGAAGCTGGTCATTACATTTGCAAGAACTAGAAACCATGCAATGCCGTTGCATGCACTGACGGGTATTTCCGAACGAGAAATTGCACTTCAAAAGCTCATTGATGTTGTTAGATCAGGCATTAGAAATGTGGGGATTTACTGAGGAAAACTGAAAAAAATTTAAAAGGAGGACGATTTGTTAAAATGGACTGCTTATGACCATAGCCCGCTTTTACATGTGAGCAGATGGTTATTTTTATAACGTGAATTCTTTGTTTTACAGACGAAATTCCTGGACAATAAAAATGTTGTTTGGAATATTTTACATTCTACCGCCACGCTTTAAATTTGGAATCCTTATATTATATCTAGACCCCAAGATGAAGATTCTTGTCGACACTAAATTTACACTTTTCTGAATGTTTATGAAAACAAAAATGAAGGTCCCTTTCCAATGTCATAAAGTGTTTCTTTTCATTAACAACATGTGTAATTAAGAGGCGTAAAGCACATGTTTAAGCTTGAGAACGGACATATGAATAAATAATTTCAGGTTTAAAGAATGCAGTATAAACAGTTGAAGAAACAATGTACCACAGATTCGATTAGATGACTTATTTTGACAAACGCGTGCAATAGAAAACCTCAGGGCTAACTAAAGGTAATAAAAACTTTCAAATAAAGAGGTACTGTATATGCTGATGGCATAAACCGATGATACCCCCCCCCCCCCAACACACACATGCACACATCATCGATATCAAACGCCAATTGACTTTTTTATCTGAAACATTTAAAAGCAGGGAAACAAACTGCCCCATAATTTATCCCATCAACTGCAAGGAAATAAGGTTTGGGTAACGTTGATTCTACCGAAATGTCTTCTTTATTTTTTGAAACATGACAACTATGTATTTTACGTTAAGCGAACCTTTCCAATTAATGTCCCCTTGGGGTTAAACGGTAAAACAAATAAGGTTTATATTCCCCCAAAGTCTCATCAGACCGTGCTGTTTGTCGATAACGCAATGGAGGACGTTGTAAAAAACAATCTTCACAGACCATTGAGCTTATGACTAAAGGGGTTTCACAAGGGTACACATGCTAACTGCTGGAAGACTGCACACAGGGAAATGACGGCTTCCCTCTATATTCAATAAGCAAAATTCAAACCTGAAGAAAACATTGGGCTCCCCCTGCATGTCCATTACACAGAATAATCATCTTATCAAACAGGGATGACAAATGACAATTATATAGATCTACATGTAGCTTACGCACGTAGCTTACGTGTAGATGTTACAGTGGAAATTATAACAATAATAATGAGGCCTGATCGTAAATCCGCTTAGACTGGGAGATAAAAACAGCGGCTAGTGCTATATTTTTCAACTTATTTTTCCCTTTTTTAAATTGTGATGGAAAATATGCTTTCTGTAATTGCATTTCGATGGTGTTATGTACAAAATGAAAATAAATGTCAGTTTTTGAACTTTCAGACTTACAGTAAGTCAGTTGGATATCTTGAAGATTTAAATTTCAGTCTACGTGAAATCCCAATTGCAATCTCGTCCTGGTAGATTAAAGACCTGTTTGGATGTTTACCTCGATTGCCACGGTGTCAAAATTTTGACAAAGCGTCGTTGGCAACGCCAAAAGCATTTCTAAGAGTTAACTTTGAAGTCTGTTTGTTCCAGCCAAGCGAGAGGTGTGAGACAAATGCAAATCGTACATAGAACTCTTGCCTTCGCTTGCACGCTATTTGCCCACCTGTTTCCGTGTGAACAAAAGAGGCTTAAGCCGCATTAGCCCACGTAAAGCTATATCTATACACTGATTAAGTCAATTTCTCGGAACTGATTAGTTTTAATCAAACATTTAAGCAGCATTTTTTACAAAATGTTCTTATCTTTACCTCATGCAGTCTATATAGATTGTGTTGTTCTCATGGTATACAGTGGCCTAACGAACTTGCAGCTTTGTTATTGGTTTGGGTTCAATGTGAATGCAATTAAGCCTAAATGATCATAAGTATTGAATTAAAAAATCTTATCATGTACTTGCAATTTTCAAAAAGTCCAGTTAAAGCCATAACAACTTTAAAAAAACAGCAATTGATCCACAAAAAGGATTACAACCCCACGGGTAAAACAAAACAAAGAGAAGGCATCACATAATTGAGGGCGGACTGATTACATTATCATTAAGGGTCAGGCCTCAACTTCACTTAACTATTCCGGCCCACCCTCCACGTATAGTTTAATCTAATAAAACACACAGAGAATAATGAAGGAGATCCATAGGTCGATTAAATCCCCGTCTCATGTCTTTTCATCCGATATGAACATCAGATAACAAAAGAAAGCATTGCAGGAACCATGGTGTTTGGTATCCGTAAGGCGGACTTCTGCGTAACCTACTCTGGCTCCAGTCTATTAGTAATCCCCATGTGGGGCCACTTGCAGGTTATCTAGGTTTATTTTTGTATTAAGTCAGTTGAAACCTTTGCATTTGAATTTACTTGAAGTAGTCATTCTACTTTCTTTTCTTCTTTTGATAGACGACAATGCGGAAATGAACCTTTTCTAGTACAAGATGTCCAACAAAACGTGTTGTAACGCAGTTGCACTGATGTTATAGAAACTTGAGATTTCATAATAATAACACTGGAACAAAAACTGTATTTTGTTTTTATGTTTTCGAAATCTTGAGTGCTAAAAAATCGTCCGGGGGATTAGGTTATCCAATGCCTATTTCTTTAAACGAAACACATTATACAGTGTATCATATGCATTTTGAATACATTTGCTCCTATAATTAAGACGGAGGTGGTTCAAATCAAATCTTCTGTGAAAGCATAGATGCCAATCTAATTTATTAAATAAACTTTATTCAATCTAGTGGACCTCAGAAGGCAATTGTATGGGACAATTTGGCTTATCATATGAACTTTTATGCTTCAACCCCCTACAATACCCCACTGGTCAAAGAGGTTGTCCCACCTCCAGTACCATGTGCTTTTATTTACAAATGATCACTCCACAGGTGCAAATTGTTATAAACAGAGTTTTTTTTTTTTTGTATCCCAGACAACATATACACAAGATTAATGGTACAAAGAATACATAATAGTGATAGAGATATCCATGTTTTATACCATTTATTCATATTTAGTTTACCCCCTCAAATCCAATGTTTCACTGTGATTTCGACAGAAAAAAATGTCCATTAAATTGAAAAGACACCACCAAATGTCACCAAATTTACACACAATATTAACCCGTGCTTGTTAAAGGTCACTTGTCTTATAGCGCGTGTCTACCGCGTACTGCAATTATCTCCTGTAGGCGGCGCGGCCTGCCTTAAACAAGGGTTATAATTCTGTTGTGTGGGATATTGGTCCACACTTTGGTCCAAATTATTAGGAAGTTGTTTTTCCTCTGCATTGCACTCTCCAATTCCTGCCGCGGGCGGTCTGTAGGGTTAATATCACAGATAGCAGAGGTCATTTGTAAATAAAAACATTCGCAGTTGGAGGTGGGGCAATCTTTTTGACCATCGGTGTATATGTTGAGGTTCTGTTTTATTTATTTTCAGATGGCCTATTCTACCTTACCGTTCATTGAATCAGGCCTTTTAAGAAAAGAATAAATGGAAGCTGAAGAAGAGAAAGAGAGAGAATAATCGAAAGAACGTGAGAAAAAGAAGAAGAAAAAGAACAGAACAACATTGCAAAGCAAAATTGAAAACAAAAGCTCAGGTCTGGAATAGCATCACTGCCATTTCGTTTTTACGAAAGTTTAGAAGCCAACAGGTATGGGAAACTCATCCATACAATTGAAGCACTGGATCGACGTTTTGTCACCTTTCTTGTTTGATTGGCATCAGCGGGAATACAGATTATATGTCACACACAGTCACAGAAACATGCTCATTAGAAATGATTTGGCATTGGGCCTAATAACATTATCTGTAATGACAGAGCGGACACACCTTTCTTACGAGATTATCAAGTATTAACAGCTACAGGTAGTTTCTTTTTCAGTCAAACTGTGCACGCACATTAGAAAGCGTTTAGTGATGACATTCATGTCTGGCAAGGGGTTCCAGTAAAGGAAGAAAGAAAAAAAGAAAGAAAGAAAGAAAGATTTATTTAAAACTGGTAAAGGCTTTGTAATACAGCACGCTTATTTTCGCCGAAGATTTTTTATTCTATTTCATCTCAGATAACCATTTCCCAACTGTTGTGTACTTCTTCGAGCATTTCCATGAAACTTGGAAAACGGACAGAATGTTTAAACCGTGCTTCAGATAGAAAAACAGAAAAAAGAGTCTCTGCACATTCTCAATGCATTAGAATCGATAGGATGAAGAATTCCGGATATCCGCACGTTAATGTTAATGATTAGATATTATACCTTGCCGCCGGTAACATGCAGGTGATTAGTTGCTAATGACGTGGAATAGAAGCAGTTCTTGGGTTAATCAATTGCTTTTAACTAACCACGTTATCAAAACTTCGGCTTATCACTGCAGGTGCCAGAGCGGCGTTTTAGTGGTAGGCACATTTAAGCCGTTTGACATGGCAGACGATATTAAATTCTGGTGTTTTTTTTAATATTGTGACGAAAAAACTTCACAAATCAAAAGAAAGTGAAACCAAAACAATCTATGTAAAGTTTATCTAAGATCATCACTCCCTTACCGTTGTCTGTGAAAGCTGTTCTTCTATCGTCTTCATTCACTTTCTAATCACGCAGTATCAATATCAAAGATTGCTAGTACCTGAAACCATATAAGACACATACATAAATCCACAATTAAAGGATCTTCGTAAAATAATTCTGACATCCCGTCCGATTTATAAACATGTAAAAGTAATCAGAAAGAACGCAAAATATTCATTACCACCACCACGTGGGACTACTTTAAGTTGTACATGTCACATTAAAAAATCATTACGATTGCAAAGTTTAGGGTAGTCGTTAACGTTTGGTTATTAAAACGTTTGTGTTTGTTCATTTTTGGTTGAATTCCATGGTGGAATTTAGCTTGACCCACATGGACTTTACAACAGAAAAAACGCACTAAAATATCGCCACACAAGTAATATTTTGAAGCACAGGTGAAAGTGCCCTCGACCTTCCCGTCCTGGACACACAATATTTGAGGAACAAGATAGAGCCGTAACATACGTCCAGTGTAACGCTTTCAGCCGTTGATTCTGCCCTATTACTTAAATACCGCCATGCTTTACAAAGAAACGGGATATTCGCTTAATGAATGAGTTGGAAGGATTAACCTAACCTGCCATGCTGGAACGCATGGTTTATTGCGAAAATGGCGTAAAGACTAACGTTAAAATTTGCCAACACTGCGTCAATGATGTCAGCGGATTTCCTGACTACGCAATTATTGATGTCCACTTCCTATATCAGTCATAGTAACAGGGACAAGTCTCTTACAAAAAATATGTCTACAAATAAGAAAAAAATTAGTGGTGAAATACAACCTTGCATTATTTACTAAGATACTTTGTAATTGTTCAAACTTATATTGTCACGAGTTGTTGAAACAGAAATAAATACTAGATGTTGGTGGTGCTTTGTGCTCGGCGTGCTGAAAATTTATTCCGATCGTGAAACTAACTCTGCAGATGCGTGAAACATGTTTTATACCTTCAGCAATTTCAGAATTGTCGAGGCGCTTAGATGTTCAGATAGGCATATCAAATGCTTCTTCCGAGCTTATTCTGCGCCATTAATTCATAGAAACACATTTTCGCCAAAATGATGATAATGAACTGTGGGCAAATATCTATCACATAAAATTTGTCTTTTGACCAACCACAGAAAAATATATGTTAAGCTAATTTGCACTTTTCATGTTGTTTCCTTTCTTCTATATAGATGTCAGCGTTGTAATCTCCAGTAGAATCTTATTTGTCACGACAAGAGATTGTCAATATTATTAGCACGGTGGTTTACACGTAGAAAGATTGATTTTATCAAATCATTTTTGCCTCAATAGCATACGCCCAATCATATCATCTATTCAAACGCACGCATCATGTCTCTAAATAGAAATCGTGAAATTAGATATCAACGTCATTGAAACTTCAGTGGTTCGCTATACCGTTAGGTCATACTAAGTTACAAACTCATCATTGATTTATCTTCTTTTCCAAAACAAAATGGCGAATTAAGCTTCCACCCTTTTCAAAAAGGAGAGAAAAGCACACACTGGGAGGAGTGACCATAACTTTCCAAAACTAATAATTTTTGGCAAAAAAAAAACATATTCTTATAGTTTTAGTTGTTGGACTCCGATTTCCTGAAAATGTCCCTATTTTCAACTCAGTTTTTTTCTCTTTCTAATCTTATGATACAGGATGCATTTTATACTTAGTGACATTGTAAACTACCGAATTTTCCCCTGCGATATCATAATAGATTAATTTCGGGCGATCTGGTGCTGATTTCAAGGTGCTCTCTCTCTCTCTCTCTCTCTCTCAGTGTACATGCATGTGGTCAAATGTGTGTGTGTGTGTGTGTGTGTGTGTGTGTGTGTGTGCGCGCGCAAACGTACCTTGGTGTACAACATGAACGCACCAATATTGTTGTTCCTGCTTAGTCTTCTGTGCGTAAAACGGTAAGTGAGCCATAATAACTGGACACTCGGTTTTTCGATTTGATTTTAAGGTACATGTTATCACAGCGTATCTGTGAATGCTAAGTCTAAATAATGGAAAGATCGTGCACACTTAACCTGCCATCTCATCCTGTCTGATACTCTTTTAACGATTTGATTTATTATCAGTTATTTCTATTTAACATGTGCTTTAAAAGGCGTAGCATTTGCTTCCATCTGTAACCTTTAGCAAAATCTCTTTCGTGGCTCGTAAAATGTTATTCTCGACAGTATGGTGATTGAGATGACTTCTTTGATCGTTTCGACCCGTCAGTATTACTGCAAATCAGGCAATTATAATGATGCAATCGATTAACTAGGAGGAAACTTACCGTGATTTTGGAGTCATTTCCTAGTAACGGTTTCATCGTTGGTTCTGGATTGCAAAAGGGTCGTTCACGCTAGATAATATATATTACAAATAATCCAGAAGGAAACACAGACAGAGAACGCACTTAACAACAATCAGTTTGCTGTGAATAACGATCCCTCTGCGCTTGAAGGCAAATTTAACTATCCGTAAATGATATGAAGGTCATTTGTGGTCGCATAAAGTTTACACGCCCAAGATGAACGATGTAAGTAAAACATTTTCATCTTTTGCATCTACACGAAGAAAGATAAAGGGGCATGGGCCGCCTCGGTTCCCAGCGCGCTCGGATTCCGCACTAGATCGTAATTCACGAGGAAGGATACTCAATTCATGTTCTAGAAGGAAAAAAAAAAGAATAAGGTGGGAGAAGCCCAGTTGATTGCGCATGTGTGGGTTACTGACAGTTAACACCACTCTTCGAAAAGAACCGCTAATATTGCTGGAGCTGTGTTACAACCAGTGCTCGACTGATATTTCCCTAATGAATGGGAAGTTCTCTTAGAAGTAAACATTTCTCCTAATAAACCCACAATTGCATGGGTAGAAATAATTTATATCGACGTTTTGTTGAACTGATGTCCAAACACGTTATATGTCAAGTGATTCTTGGAGTCAGGTGGTAACGTAGCTTAGACGGATATATATACTATACTGTGTACTTTTAAAAGTATACGCCCAGTTGTTTAACAGAAATGCGTTTTTTTGTATCTTTGTAACATTGAGCTGCACTGACAATGGCAGCACTTGTATCAAATTGAAACTTATCTTCATTATAAGCTTCAAATATCTAATCGCGTGAACTGGTCTACTCTAGTACAGTCCATACTTACTTACATTGTAGAACTGATGGTTAAAACTTAAATGTACAAGAAAGAATTACCAGAGAGAGAGAGAGAGAGAGAGAGACGCACTGCTGAAGGTAGGAGATTTGCAGTACTACACCAAAGTGCACCTGAGACGTGCGGCACGCGAAGCAGTGTAAACTTACCAACACCGTGACTCTTACCTGCCATTTCATCCAATAATACAACCCCACAAATGAAAATATGTGCACTATTTGTTTTGATATTTATTTTATATGTTATAGCATTACCTAATTTCAATTAATTTAACATTAGCTTATGCTATATAATAACTAACGCCATTCTTTACTAGAAAGACCTTCCAATAAAAGCGGCCGCTATCGGCCAAATTTCGAACACTATATTTGTGTTTTTCCTTATCCTTTCGCTTGGGTTAATGAGGAGACAAATACATTTGTGCACGGCGAAGTCAAAATAATTGAAAGAATAGGGAAAAGATACAGTATCGTACATACATGTATACAGCATGCACTTCTTTCACACAAACGACCTAACACTGAAAAAACAAATAAATACTTCACAATACCAGTCATTTAAATGCCTAACCGAATGTTCGAGATCTCATTTTTACCTCACCGTTGATCAAAAAAATCCCCTTGTAGTATAGCTGTCTACATGCGAGTACACCATCTCCATGACTTCTAACTGCTCCATGTAGCGTGCTTTGGTAAATATCATAGTTTTTAGGCCACGTGTATGCTAATTGACTTATATCGTAATTATGACATTACTATTATTACGTGTTAAATTGGCTACTTGTGACGTATTCCACATAATGTGATTTAGCTACCTCGCCTACCCGTATATGGTGAAGATATATCCATTCCCCAGACGAGACGGTTGTGTTCATGAGATATCTTAAAATTTCTGAATTTTAAAGGTTAATTTCGTTCACTACGAAGAGGAATTATACGCCCAGCTTCAAGCTAAAACATGCTGGTTTTCTAAACTTACGCGTAATCATAAATGAAAATCATCTGTTATTAATGATGGTCAATGATATTAACTGCATGCTTCATGTCCTTTTAAAATATCCGACATGACTGTGCTTAGCAACGACTTCAGATAGAATTATAATCTTCTGTCAAACAAGCCTTGATTCTACCAATATGAGCCATGGGCGTTTTAGGAATGTAGGTCCTATAGGATAGACAGCAATAATAATTTTCATTGAATCAAAATACAATTCACACGCACAAACACATGCACAGACACACGCTAGTGTTCATATGACGTACACTGTGGATTGTTGTGACGTAAAACAGAAATCAATTTTGTCGGATACGGCTGCATTTTGAGTTAATACTTATAACTTAGAGTAGGTAAAATCAAAACCTGATTTTTATTCAACAAGTAGAACAGCAAATTTTGCATGAAAATCCTGGTTTTACATGGCCAAGTGGCAGGTACCATATTTAAAATAAAAGTACTGCCATTTATTTAGGCGATTTAGAAAACTGTTCAAGCAATGATGACGAACGGATCTTGGTCTTGAAAAAACAGTTTGACTTGAGTAAAACATACTTTGACTAATAGTAAAAAATTACCTCGGCATCCTCGTTCAGATCCACGAAGAAAACTCACGAGGGCACCTTCCGAAAAGTGTAGATTTAATAACATTTAGTGGATCTTGATCCGCAAACTCTTATTGATTAATGAAGCCTCTCATTGTCTGTGACATGATGATCACAAGAATGAATACAAATGCGGTCTTTAAAACACTTGTAATCAAATATACTTCAAAGCATTTCGGTTTTTCTCAGCGCATGCCTTTCCGATTCCAAGACATTAGTCTCCAACAGCATTGACCTTTACAGGATAATATTTAGAATATTTTCTCAACTGTTGTTATCTATTGCATTCCGATTATTTGTCCTAGAATGGAAACTGGCTTTCTTATTAAGATATAAATATCAAAGGCTAAAAATATACCTAAACAGCACACGAATGAAGGAATATAAATATGAAGTGAAATCCTCCTTTAGATTCTAGGACTTCACGACATCCGAATCAGTTTTATAGATTCACAAGTATTCCCATCTGTCTTTTGCTAAAAATATTTTACCTTTTTATTCTAAAAGGACTAGCACACCAGAAGGAAAATCCCAAAACTGGAAGAATATTATTTAAAAAAATTGAAATTTTAAGTGTATAAAAATTAGGAAAAATAAATTGGCAAAAATAAACGTGCGTTTTAAAACTTTGTGTGTACGATGCATATGAACAGTGTATACAAAACTCTCTTAACCTCTGATAGTCGGTTTTGAAATGTTTCAGTAGAATTTCCAATGCTTTGATACCAGTTTCACAAAATTGTTTAGTCCTAGGTCTAAGCTTTAAGACCAAAACTTTAGTTTGCTTCCGTTCAAAATAAATCTAGTAGTAGTCCACTAAAAAGATAATAATTGGCCTGAAACAAAAGCAACATCTCTCTTGTTATTAAACAACTACATTTGTATTTTGGATCAGAAGAGACGAATATATTAGTAACTTAGGGTCAACTATCAGGCTAAGTTCTTTGAAACAATCCCCTGATGTTTTTATGACACCGATAACATAAACAAATTGTCGGAGGAGTGATCTTCCTTTTATTTGCCCTATCTCTAAACGGATAATGCTGGAACACACGGGTTCAGACCGTCCATTGGATGACAGTAAAATGTTATTCAAACGCATTTAAATATATAAACAATTACAACCTTAAGGGTGCAGGTACATGTAGACTCTCCAGGGCACTTTCATTCCAAAAAGAGAGAAAAGTGTGAAGCATCTTCGGGTTCGATATTGACGCCAAACCAGTTTTTCTTCATTCGAACAATATTAGAAACTTGAAAACCCTTTTGTTATGGTCTTTACCTTAGGCCTGGTACATGTGTCACTCCCTTTGGAGACACCCATACCAGAAACCCTTCCACAAATGCTTGTCCTTTGTTGATATTGACAGTGCGAGGCCATATATTTTTGTCGTGTAGCCATCTTGCCTTTGGTCTTCCATGTCTTCTCCAGTCAAATGCATTGGGATCTAATCAGTCTCTCTTAAAATGCAAATACAAGATCACCACTAAAATATTATTATTTTTTTTTGGTTTCAACTAGCAGCAAAGTAATAGAAACAATACTAAGCGGTTCCTCATAGCTTTCTTTCTGGAGGGAGATATTTTGTAAATAATCATGGTCTTATACCGGTACATGTAGCACAAATAATTTGACATGAGATGGGTAGCAAATTTTTCTCGAATTCGATTGCCAATATAAAAAGGTGTCTGTCACCCGGTAAAAGCAAAGTGACAGCGTCAGGTGAGACTGGTAATTAGAGCTTCATACGATATGCCTTTTGTCTGTAAATATTGATCAAAATACACGTCTACCTCTAATGAAGATGTAGATAGAAGCAAATTGTGCGGCATTAATGAGCGGGTATACATCTACGTATACGTGTAGCTTTTGTCATTTGTGACAGAAGAGACTTCACACAGCACTGTGAACCAATATTTGACTTACCTATTCATAAAATGCCTTTACCAAGACACCTTAACTTCCATTTTCAGATTTGAATAAGTACATAACTGAACATGAAAGGCGTATGAACACAGAACACATCTCATGACAAAGAAACCAGCAAACTGCCATCGAATGAAAAATATATCAATTCAGATATAAGGAAATATACCGTAATGTTATTTACCAACCGTAATGTTATTTATTTATTTATTTTGATACAGGGCCTTTATGCACAGGGTGTTTTTTCTAGATTACTACCATATACCATGGGAAGCCCTAGTCGAAAGATTAAAATTTGAAGTAGAAAATATAGCAGTAAAGAAATCAGGTAGACCTAGGGTGCTGCTGTATACTCAAATCAGGAATATTTCCTAGTACATCATTTTTATCTGTTCTGTTCATGATTCATTATCATCGTTTATCTGAAGGCTGTACATGTTACTCATCTTGGACTTTGAGAATGCCATATAGCTGGGAGAATAATCCAATGCCTTAAAAATAAAGTAACTTTCTTTATTCAACAGCAAATATTACCTCCAATATTTCGATGTCTCTCAGAGCATCTTAATCAGTGAATGAAGCTATCCAGGTGAATAACCTGTAATATCAGCTGTCAATATTAGCTGTTGATTGTAGAAAATTTACCTTACTCTTATATCATAACAAAGCTGATGGAATTCTTCTCTGATCCCAATGTCTTTATTTTCACCTGTGATTTATCCAGTTATCCAAAGGTAAAAATTAATTCTTTAGGTGACTTTCCTCATGATCAGCAAAATGAAAAGGTTGCAGTAAATTTGCAAGAGCATTTTAAGTTTGCAGCAAATTTGCAAGGGAGTTTGCGGCAGGACTGATATTTTGCTAATGGTTACGTTGTTAATTAGTACAAGTGTCGCGCATGTTGCTACCTGTCTGGCAACTCAACCAATGGTTAAATAAAGATTTGTAAGATGATTGCGATTAACTTAACATATATGATTTAAGTATAACTCATTAACTTAAAGACAGGTAGCAACATGCATGTCCTTAATA